ATAAACTGCATCTCATCCTTCTCTGTGCCCCTTCCAGAGGTTGCCCAAGTGCTGACCTCGCTTGCTGTAGAGCTGTTGGCCCCTATGTGGTGTCACTAGCCAGCTCCTCTCTGTGGGTCTTTTCTTGGGGATAGCAGTATTGCAGTGGGGTTTTATTCTTTCAGTAAGGATGGTGGTGTCACCACTAAAATTATACTTAATGACATCCAGCCTAGTGAGTATTTAATTTTGTAAGTTATCACTTCTTCTTGATAAGTTTGCACATCAGGTACTTCAAGAGCTTGATGGGGCTGTGTGTGCTCTGGGAAGGTGGGTGGGTCTGATGGCAAAGCTAGGGCTTGTGAGTTTCTAAGAGGGGGTAGGGGAGGGTTGAGGAGTGTTTGTCATGGTGGTGAATTGGAGGAGGATTATGGGAACAATTAGTGTTTATGACTTTAAAATAGGTAGTATCCTGTCAGAACTGACTTCACAATGGTTAGCATTCCTTAGCAGTGAGGTTTATTTCATCTGTAATCTCTGATCTTAACCTTGTTATTTCATGACTTTCTTCCTTTAATTCTTGCCACTCAGAAATATCACTGAGAGGCGCCTGGGTGCCTCATTCAGTAAAGCTTCTGACTCTTGATTTTGGCTCAAGTTATGATCTCGGTGTTGTGAGATGAAGCCCTTGTGGGGCTCTGCTTTCCACAGGGAGTCTGCTTGAGATTTTTTCTCTCCTTCACCTTCTGCCCCTCCCGTTGTTCGAGAGCTCTCTCTCTCTCTCAAAATAAATAAATAAATCTTTTAAAAGGGAAAAAAAAAAAGAAACCTCACTGAGCTGAACTGAAATCATTATATTCTTCCATATGTGTTCCAACTCATTCACATCTGGGATATCATTTTTCCTGACTCTCTACAGTGTGGGGATTTTTTTCTTTATGGCTAAAGTAGCAGTTTTGTCATGCTTGACTTCAGAGTGTAAGTATGAGTGATATGGCAGGTTTATTCTGCTTGGCTTGTGAGAATGCTGCCTTTTCTCATTTTTTGTTCCCTGAAAAGTTGGTATTCCCTTGCCAAAGCACATACTGTAATTGCCATATTTCTCTTCAAGATCTGGGGCTCCTCTATGTAGGAAACACCTGGCAGTTCCTTATACCTTTGTATTCTGCTCTTGTGCATATGTAAATCAGTGCTAGGTAAACCGGGTGTGCTGCGGTTGGCCCACCTTCACATGAATAGTTAATAGAAGTGGGGCTTTCACACTTGCCCTATGCAAAGTGAGCGCATTGACCTACACTTGGCAAGAGTTTTATTATTTTCCATTCTGTGGTTATGGAATATGGATCTGGGTTAGGATTGCAGAAAATGCAAACCAGCATGTTGTTAGGTGTTTTTTTTCTGAGTAATGCCCTGGCATCTCATGAAAGCGTTGAGCTCTAATGTGTTAACATCTGGGCATGCTTGCCAATAAAAATTAGTCTGTATTCTTCAGCAGTGTTACATGTACTCTTTAGTCTAGAAGCAGAGATAGCCTCAATTTTTCTTTGTATAAACTTCCTGGTTATCTCCTTCAGGATCTAGATCCCAAACTTTAAATTCCAGGGAGAACTTAAGAAAGATATGTGAACCCAGCTTTAGGGGCTTCTGGATTTTCCTCTGTGTCGGCTTTTGCCTCCTTTCTCTTTTGAGCTCCAGTCCTTCTAGGGCAGTCAGGATCTGAGGCAAGGTCTGGGCCTAGTAGGGGTAATGGGAAAAACTTTGGAGTCTAGATTTCAGATGGAGATCAGAATTCTGGTTCATGTTCTATTATCACGCAGCTAGACTCTTAACCTCTGCACAGGAGAGCAAGTGGTTGTCCTCCCCCGTGGCCCTGCTCTGCTTAGACTAGGAAGTGTGCAGTGTACTAACAGGGCGGCTGCGGGCAGGACAGAGGCTCCATCATATTGGGGTCCCTCATCCCTCACAGCACATTGTCTTTTATCACGAGTTCCTACAGCATGTGGCCAGTGCTGGTGGGGCGACTCAGCTTGGTGGCTTTGCGCAAGTCTCCCCTGACTTGTGGGAAGGGGAATGCGACAGCCACAGCCCAGATTGCTCAGGGCATCTCCTGGGAAAATCCGCGTGTACTGGAGAAATAATGTCCAGCCACCTAAGAGGATAACGAAGTCTTACATCATTTATCACAAGTTGTTTTAAAACATTAATGTTTGAAATTATGAAAGTTAAACAGATGAAAATATGCTCAATGTGGAAACTTAGAAAACATTGAAAAGAAAAAGTGTCTCCCTTGCATTATTCAAAGGTAACCAAATATTAGTGTATATTCTTTTAATATGTATACTGTGCCTGTGCATATCCCCCCCGCCACCCAAATGATACCATGCTGTTTTCTTCACCTGATGACGTATGGTACTACTATTTCCATGTGAATAAAATATTCTTCACATTTTTAAAATTATGAAGTATTTTTATTGAAGTAGAGTTGACATGCAAAGTTAGACTAGTTTCAGGTGGAAACATAGTGATTCGACAATTCTTTACATGAGGCTGTGCTCACGGTAAGTAGTGTGGTTCGCATAAGTGTTTTATGGTGGCATAGCATTCTCCCATCTAGGCACACTATAAGTGACCATAACAAATGCCCTATTATCAGCAGCCTTCTCTCAGAATCTGTGAATGTCTCCATTCTTAGCCATTTCTAGGGTTTGTGACCATTATAGTATAGAATCCCTATCTCTAGGGATTATCCTCCAGGACATTTCTTATATTTAAAGCAGCAGGATCTCAATTCCCTAAGAAGTGGCAGTCTTGTGTTATTTTCGCTCCACTTTTGGCTTAAAACAGAAAAACTACACTTTTTGTTTGTGGTGTTTTACAAACCCCTAGTGATCTTTTTAATGATAAAGTGAGTCTGCATAGGGTGGCCTGCCTGTGTATTTTTCAAATACACAGATTAAAATCTGTCACTTGACAGTCTTCTGCCCACCCCAGCCCTGCAAAGAAATCCCTCAAAACTGGTCTGGTGGATGAGTTCGAAATAGATGCAGTGCTGACACTGTCCAAGGCTAGGGCGTTGAGTTTCTGTTACTCTACCAACAGCATGGGACACTGTAACACCTTGTTTTTCAGTCAATACTTCTATGGGGACCGTAAGTTAAGATTTTGGAAGTTAACAGCATCCATCGTGGTTGGGATTACATATATGCCCTCAGTTTTCATATGCTGGAGTTCTCAAAAAAATAATTGAGTAACATAATTGTTATTTGACCTTTTAAAAACATTTTATTTATTAATTTTTTAATAAAGATTTTATTTATTTGAAAGAGAGAGAGGGAGAGAGCATGAGCAGGGGGAGAGGCAGAGGAGAAAGCAGACTGCCCACTAAGTAGGGAGCCCAATGTAGAACTCTATCCCTGGGGTCATGACCTGAGCCAAAGGCAGCTGCTTAACCAACTGAGCCACCCAAGCGCCTCTGACTTTTTCATAACAAAATCCTATTTGAGCAGGAAACCCCGTAATAAAGACTCATTTTCACCAGATTTCTGGCCAAATTTTATCTAGTTCAAATTGAAGCAAGTGTGAAAAATTATCTTTTTTGGCTTTCTCCTTCCATAGCTTTTAGCTGTGAAATCATACTGTAGATATGATTTTAATAGTTGTCACAGAAGAAGGACCAGATAATTGAAATAGCATTTAAGATTCAAGAATGCATTGTTTAAATCAGGCACCCAGGGTGAGGTCAGGAGCTGTAGTCCAATAAGCCATTGGCTGATGTAGGGAAGATTGCTTTACTTCAAAGGTTTGTTGAGGTGAGTCTCTGTGGATAAGTGGTTAGGTGTTGCTTCCCATGTGTATATGACCATCCTTTTTTCTTTTATTTTTTACTTAATTAGCTATCAAAGCTAAGGATAGATATCATCTATTTTTATTGGCCTTGAGTAGGTTTCTTTGCAAATTTATTGAAATGAACTCAAAATAGTCTTCGTTCTGATGCTGGAAGCTGATTTGAAGACCATTCTGACTTTCTAGTAATTTTGGTTTTCTCTTCCCTCTCCTAATTTAAATCTTTTGTTTTGCTTAACTATTTTTTCCCTCCCCTTGAGATCATTCTTTTTTTTTTTCTAAGCTGGAAAAACTTCTATGATGGGATTCTAACTTGTTTATACTTTACTGACAAGCCTCTAGCTCTTGGAGGTTGTTTGGAGTCAGGGATTACAAAACCAAATGCCCGTGGGGTGGGAAGGTCTGAGAGTGAGGAGCAGTACCTGATGGGTGTCACGGAGGCGAGAGGGTTGATCGCTGAGGACTGGAATCTTAGGTCTCACCCGGAGGGGCCAGCAGCTGCTGCATTCAGCCCATTGTGACCATTGGGATGGGAACACAGTGTTGCCAAATGATCTATTTTTCAAGAGAAGCTGGAAATAGATTTTTGTCTCTGTGTTTTATGTTTGAAATATAAAAATCATTATGTGTTTGTCTGTGGCTCAAACAAAACATATCCATGGCCCGAGATTATGCCCACCATTGGCCAATCTGTGGCCTTTGCTCTGAAGGATAAGTCGTGCCTTTTTAGAAAATAACAGTTTTAAATCAAGCAGTTTGTGAATGCTGATTTGGCTGAGATACTCTATTTTAATTACCTTTAACAAGGAAATACTGCTTAAATAATGGTAGATTTTAGATGAGTTGGTTGTAGCACCTAATTCCCTTTAGTTGACTGTTATAGCTTTGTCTTGCTATTTTGTAGTATCCTGGGTGCAGAGCAGAATTTTAAAAAGAAAATGGAATTTGAGGCCAACAGATCTTCCACCAAGTGTCTAATTTTTATGGGTGACTTTTCAAGTTTCTAAATAGCAGTGTTCTCAATTGAACCTAGAAGAATGTATTAACATAATAACTTAGGTTTTTGCTAGAATCCTTGAATGTATTATCAGTTTAAGGTTAAAAAACCTGAAAATTAATCTTGACTCCCCTGAGTTATCAAATGGATATTTATGTGTTTTCTTTTTCTTTCTTTAAAGATTTGAACATGGAATTTAATCCTTCAGACCATCCTCGGGCCAGCACAATATTCCTCAGTAAATCTCAGACGGACGGTAGGTTACTAATTTATTTGTGTTCTTAAAACAAAACAAAAGGCTCATGTTGGTAACCTAAATCTTGACTTTCCACTAGTTGTGATTCTTGAGGTAAAAGTAGAATCCCCTTTAGTAGTCCCTCAAGTGTATTGTTGGATGGTGTTCTCTGGGGGTTTCTTCCTTTTGTACATAGTAAGTTATGTTTTTAGAACTTCCTTCGTTCTTTCCTTTCTTTCTTTCCCTCCCTTCCTTCCTCCCTCTCCCTCCCCGCCTTTCTTTCTTTCAGATTTTATTTATTTATCTGAGAGAGTGTGAGAGCACAAGGAGGGGAACAGCAGGCTTCCCTCCCACCCCTGCAAGCTGAGCAGGGAGCTGGATGTGGGTTTCGATCCCAGGACCCTGGGATCATGACCTGAGCTGAAAGCCGACGCTTAATGGACTGAGCCACTCAGGTGCTCCTAGAATTTTCTTTCTTGAAGCAGCTATTATTCTCATTTTGCTCGTCAGCCGGATTATTTCTGTATGTATTCTACTATAGTTTTTACAGTAGTCAGACATTTTCTCTTAAGAATTGATACTTGCATAAATCTCTAAAGATCAGAAGTGTTTGCTTTTTTAGACAGTTTGTAAAAGAAAGCAAAATGTAATCCTTGAATAAAATAAAATAAAATCCCTGTTATGTCTGTTGTGCCATTTGAGAGCTGAATTAAACCTGTACACTAAGGGTAAATGTTTTCTTTTTGCCAAACTTCTACTACCCAGCTTATTCTGCGGTCTTTGTGTTTGTCCCAGGAGTGTGTGGAACTTACGTTAAACGTTTTTCTCTCTTTTCAGCCCCTAGCTTATCTCACTGTTCCCTGGCCCTTGGCTACAAAGGACAGATAAAAGTTATACAGTATAGTGAACATGAATCTTCTCAATTGGTTTCCTGTAAAATGGTAGCCAGAGAAATTTGTTAAATGACCATGAAGTGACCAGGATATTATATTACAGTGCTGGAGTCCTGTGTAATTCAATCCCTGAAAGGTCTGGCAAATCACTAAGCTCTCCTGTAGAGAAGATCCTAAATTGACTAGAAAATAATCAAACATTTATAAGACAGACTTCATTTATAAGAACTGGTAACTTTCCAGTAATGGTTAGGTGAAGTTTTGACATGTTAAAGTGATGTTGATGATCATTACTTAAGCAGCCACTGACTTGATCTGAAAGAATCTGGTGCATTTATAAAAGTCAGTCAGTGTTTCCAAGCATAAAAATAAATCATTCTAGGCATCAAATACTTTTAAAATAAGTTTTAAATATATCAGGTAAAAACAAAACAATATGTATTTCTTGGCCTTTTAAAGTGGGAAGTCACTGGGAGAGGTAGGATATTGTAAGGGAAGGGCAGTGATAGAAGGCAGGAGGGTTTGGAACAAGGAGAATCTAAAACACTTAAATTTTGCACTTAATGATGCAAGGTTGGCATACTTTCAGGTTTGGTTCGTGTTTCCTGTGACTTCAGGGTATAGACCAATATCATTCAGGAAATTTTCTTTTCTTTTCTTTTCTTTTTTTTTTTTTTTTTTTTTGCTTGGAAACAGATAGCCCGATGTGGGGCACGATCCCAAGACCCTGAGATCATGACCTGAGCCGAAGGCAGAGGCTTAACCCACTGAGCCACCCAGGCACCCCTCATTCAGGAAATTTTCTAACTGGAATCAAATGGAATTGCTGAAGGGCCTCTAAGTAGATGACACGTACCTTGATTGTCTTGGTAAAATGAAACTCAGCCATTTTCTGACTTAACAGAAGGATTGCTCCACAAATGAGTTAGGGAAGTATATCTTTCCCCTTTACCTTTACTACAAATTTTATTTCCTGCTTCCTCTTCTGGAATATTAGAGTATTGATTTTTCTCATCCTTCTGTTTAATTCTTCAATTTTTCCCCAAATGCTGGATCTTTCCATTCAACATGTAAACCTTTTTGAGTTACACAAGAAATATAAGAAAAGGAAAGATAATCAATAGCCTCTCCCTGAGGTTTTCTTCTCTACTCTCTTCAGTGGGAGTTTCTATACCATCTCAACTACTCTTTCCATTCACTTGTCCACTAGCATCTTCCCACCACCACCTTTCTCTGGAGCATGAGGGACATCTTTGCTTCTCTTAGCTCTTGACCTGTCATATGGCATTTGCTGCCACTGACTGTTCCTTGCTCCTTAAAACTCCTCTTCTGGCTTTTTATATTCAGACAGGCCAATTTGAGGAAAGCAAGTCCCTCTAATGAACAATTGCTATATAAATAATTTAAAAAATAGGTTTTAAAAATAGGTACATTTGGTAACTTTACTAAGTTAATTATTTGGTGAATTGATTATCAGTCAGGGAAATATTTAGGGAATTGGTCCTGGGAAACCCTCCCTTTTTTAAAGGTCCTACTCAGGCATCTTTGATCAAGTTCTCCATTCATCCCCATAATGTTGGTGTTTTATAGGGTTCTGTGCTTTATCCTCTTCATCTTCTGGGTTTGCACACAGTTTCTCACAATGTCCATTTCAACAATGATCTCTAGCCAGGTTTTTCTCTGCAGTGTTCAGATCCCTTATGTCCATCTGCCTGCAGGACATCTTGATATCTTCTTCTAACTCAGTATGTCCCAATCAGGACTTAGTAACTACAGGTAGTGCCCTGCGTTTCCTGCTCTACCCAGGTCACCAGAGCCGGGGAGGCTTGACTTTTCCTAGACTCATCCCTCGTCCCAAGTCTCCTGTGCCGGCGGTAGTGCTGGAGCTCACTCACACCAACTCGCAGCAGCTGATGGTGCACATTTCTGCCCAGTTCCAAGTTCAGTGACACCACTTTGGGAGTTTGAGAACAGCCACAAAGGGAATTTTACCCTGTAGAAATTGACAAATGCTACAAATCAGGGCTTTTTCTTTTTTTCTTTTTTCTTTTTTTTTCTCTATAAAAGGCAGCTGTGGAGCACTTCCTGGCACATCACTACAGCCAAGTGATCAAAGGTGTGCTAGTTTCTGCCTCATAACTGTCCCCTGAATCCACCTGCTCTTTACCATTCCCATTGCTGCCACCTTAGCTGAGACTCCTGTTTTCCCCTTTGGATTACTGCAGCAGCCTGTGGACCCACCTGTGACCATATCCCTTTCCGGTCCTATGGTTCTGCTGTTGCTAGGTAAAAAGACTTTCTGTAAATCAGATCTGACTATGTCACTTGCTCGCTTCAGCTTTTTTAATGGCTCTCCATTTGCCTTAGAATTAAATTTCAGCTGCCAGTTGAAAATGTCATATGATTTCTTTTTCGAAAACTATGAACTCCTTCGAACATTTTTATGTGGTAATAGACAAAGCCCTTGTGATCCATCCTCTGCCTGCTTTCTCAGCCCACTTTCTTCTTTTGCATCTCTGGGCTTCCGCGGTACGGAATCCCTTGCAGTTCCCCTGCTATGCCACATGGCCTCCTGTGCCTTTGCATTGACCTGCATTTCGCCTTCTGTCTTCGACACAGCTCATTTCTCCAGTCTCTAAGCCTCATTTCAGCTATCACCTCTCTTCATCCCTCAGGCTGGGTTAACTGGGCCTTTGGTGGGTTTCCGCTCTATCTATGAACACTTTCTTCATGGTCTGAACCGTATTGTGGTATTTAGAACTATTTTCTTGTCTGTGTTGACAACTAGCCCCTAGAGAGCAAGTGGTCATGGATCTCAGTATCTCCTGTGCCTTGCTCTGCCTGGTACCGAGGATATTTAACTTAGGTGATTGAAAGAAGGAAAAAAATGACAAAGCCACAAGATATTTTTGATTTACTTGTGATCATTCTTTGCTTCCACAGACTTATATTTTCTTTACAAGACCATATGTCTAAGAGCATTAGAGCAGTCCAAAATTGTGGGTCCCACCCACACCAATTTATTTTATTTTATTTAATTTCAATTTTTGGAAGAAATGTTGTAATCCCAGATTATAAGGCACACAGCACCTTTTAGATTCCTTTCTTTCGAATTTGGTGATCACCCCTCTCTTCTCAGGGTGATGGACTCCTTCAGTATTTTGCACTAGGTTTTGGGTAGGAGGCTGTTGGTGGGGTGATGGCAGTTCTCTATGGGGGTAGTTCCTGCCCGGGGCCACAGCCAGGTCTCTTCGGCCTTTGCCCCTCTCCACTCTGCAGACCCGTCATCCTCTTTCCTTCTCTAGCACTCGCTGGTCTGATGAACACACACTATCTGCCATGCTCCCCATGGGCCAACTGTTCATTATTCTGCTCTAGCTGATACCTGTATTAAGTCATTAGGAGTTAAATTAGAACCTACTAAGTTCCTTTTCCCTCTGATGTCAGAGATTTAGGATGTCCTTGGATCCTTTATCTCAGTGTTCAGAAGGAGACTGGAAACTTTACCATAACAGAATGATAATAGAGTGCTTGCCTAATTAGAACTGTGCCAGCTGGCTGAAGTTAGGGATATTCTGTCCAAAGCCAGACTGACTGCTCTCTCAGTCTCTTCTTCACACAAGTGGGATGTCATTGCAGAATCTTTGTTTGAGAGCCACTCAACAAAGAGGGACCAAAGGTTCCTTTCAGGACTGGGTGGGGTTGCCAGGTGAGAGAGAAATCAGTTTGCTTAGCCTGCCTTGGCTTTTCATGCTATCATTTTGGCTTGTGGAGAAGAATTATAGTTCCTAGTGGTTTTTCCTTTTCTATACTATTTTAATTCATTGTTTTCGAAGACATGAGAGCCTACTCTTAAGTACTAGGAGAAAGCAGCCAAACCACATCTTTTTTAACTGGTATGGTTTTTAGACGTTCTTTATCTTTAAAAAGAATTTAGATAAAAATAAGAACTTAAGTGTCTGTGTTTGTGTGTGTGTATGTGTAATCTGTGTGTTCAAGAATTTCTTGAAATAATTAAAAGAATGAAAACCAATGTCTCTTGAGTGACTTAAAGCCAAAGCAGAAGTGTTGAAATTCAGAAATAAAATATGATCCCTGGTTTTCTTTGCACATTCTTTCAGAAATACT